ATACTCATGAAAAACTTGGTAATATTTTTGGTCAGATACAATTTTAACAGCGAGATCACGATGGATCTCGAACCATTGGGAGCCTTTCCGCCACTGTTCGATGCTAATCGTTGGCCACATTTGGCGATTGTATCGACCTCGACCCGGTTTTCGAGGATCGTCGAATGACCCGAGAAAGCTTAGATTTGTTTCTGTTAGGTATTTGTAGATTGTAGTGAAGTTGAAAAGGGGAATGCATGAATCAGAGAGTAATACAAATCTTTGATTGGAGAAGTCAAGTAGGGCATTAGCTAATAGCCTTCTTTCAGCATCAATCATTGATATAGTTCCCCAGTACACAGGCTGCATCAAGAATCAAGTTAAAGATTAACAGGATTCTTCAAAAATATTCAATAAGTAACCATATTCAGAAGTAAGCTAACCTGGCTTGGAATTCTTCTGCCATAAAAAACAGAATTCTCAGGCGTTGAATCGTTGTAAGAAGGATGAGAGTGAACGTAAATGGAGTAAAGTCCTTCATGACCTTTAAAAAACTTGTCCCATAAAGGAGCCAGAGGCAGAGACCCTGGTGTCAAGAACATGAACGCCACTTTAGGAACAAGTAACTCTTGACTTTGTGGAACCAATGATGATTTCTTCAACAGCTCTTCGTCGGTCATATTATGCATGACTGCTGTCGGAGGACCGAGCGGAGGTGGTGATAGTGGTCGTGGTGGTGGCAGCGGCGGCGGCGTTGGCAAGGATAGTTTTGAAATTGAAGGAGAAAACAGGAATGGGAAAGCTGGAATGGTGAAGAAGAAGCTTTTGAGGCATAAAGCAGATACAAGACCAATTGATAAACCTACGATTAAAAGAAACAAATGAAAAATACAAACTGAAGAGGATTGAGGTTTGAAAAGTTTAGGAATATTCATTTTCAAAAGTTGTTTCACTGAAATATGGAGAAGATGGCTATTTTTGTACAGTATCCCAAAGCTAGTTGAGAAACACTTGGAACGTACGTTTTGCAAGTTTGCATGTGTACAATTTTCGTCTCTTTTGCATAAAAAATTAAAAGTCAGCAATGAAATAATAACTTGTAGATTAGTGAAAAATGAACATTACGAGATGATTCTTCTTATAACATGAATTTCAAGCGAAATGGTAGGCCCCAACCAAAAATTTGGTATAGGGTCCAACATTTCAAAAATTAGGATGACACTTCCCTAAAATACAGAGTACTTTATTAAAGATAAGAAATAATTCAATAGAAAATGATGTTTTATGTGGGCCTGTTCGATAGTGATTATAATTTATGAAAATTGAATTTTTGATCCTTGGGAAAAAAAATGAGTTCCACTTGTGATGTGATGAAAAAGTAAATAATAACTGCTGAAATAACGAAATAACAGTTAAAAGATTGATTTTTTAGGATGAAAAACTATTACCAACGGGGGCTTAATTAATTTAGCCGGTCATTTACAATAGTCCTGAAAGATACCAAGAAATTGGGTATGCCTAAATTTTGATTTTGTAACAAAAAAAGGAGCGAATTGCGCCATTTATTTGTTGACTTCGCAGTTAGGTTTGATGACCATATTTGAGGACTAATGTCACTGTTATCTAGTCTAAATTAGAGCGTCACAATGTGATGAACCATCAAGGTCCAAGTTGTTGGTCATGGCTAGGCTTGGTTCGGTCCAAGAGTTCTTTGTCTTTTTCCAAATAGTCAAATTGAGGAACTAAAATTACTGCTTAAATTTAGGGACCTTGCCATTATCACATTCACACTCACACTCTATCTATAGCTTTTATACCGCTTGTGTTTTGACAATTAGCCCATGTTTGGCACCATTTCGTGGAAATGAAAATGGGTGGAATAATATTTTTTAGAAAAATGAGTGATTGAAAAAGAAGGAAACTTTTTTGATTTACGTAAAATATTATTCGATAAAAAATTGTGTGATTGAAAATAAAAGCGAGAAAAATAAAATGTAATTGAATAAAAATTAGTGGCTTTGGATTCAATTCTTCCAGTCGAAGGCAACTTCCAATACTGGGTCAAAGATTAGAACCAAAAAAGGTGGAGATCAGTGCCTTCCTGCCTAATCAATTTTAGTCAAAGAATTTTTTTTATTATTTTTTTTTTTATAAATACTCTACATTTTAATTATATAAAAGGTCATTAACCTTTATTTATTATAATAGTTATATCTTTAATTTTTTTTCTTCATCACATTTTTATTTTTAACATTTCATCGATAAAAAAATCTTGCCATTGATCATGATTTTTATTCAAAAATGGGATCTACTATATAATCGCACTTTTACAGAATTGTTTATTTTGCTTATTCAAAAATACAATGGGAAAATGAGATTTTTTACTTTATCTTTAAAAAAAAATAAAAATTGGAGAGAAATTATAGTACGGACCAATTTACGTTAATTTAAGAATAAGCAATAAAAAAAAGATTTAGATATAAATGTGAGAATGTATAAATGTTATGAACGTGCAATTAAAATATAGTCTAATTATTAAAAATTGTGATGTGAATATTCAGCTTAATCAACTTGAATTATAAATAAGGTTTATATAAAGAAGCATCACAAGGCACACAGATAATGTACCCAATGCTTCATAAATATTTATATCATGTAATTTGACAATCGAAATTTCTTTGACTCCACTTAAGAATGGAATTAAATCAAACTTGACAGTCTATTTTTCAATTATAATTCAATTTGACTAATTTTGGTTACAATCGATTCAAATTGCCCATTCCATAAATTCTCATTCCTCAACAATTATTCTGTAGGTACAAATTTTATTACAAGATTTTATGCAGGATTGTCTCCCTGTGATTTGTTGTTGGCAAAAATTATTTTTGACAGTAATCAATCCTTACGACACATTCGTATTTTCTAGTATAAAATCTGTACTTACATCATTTCACTTTTTCCCCCAAGCATATACGTGGGTTAAGAGTTAGATACATAAATGAGAGGGAGTTTGGGAGTGATTTTTCATTCCAAAAAATTGATTTTTTAATCGTTATTTCACTATTTCAGACGTAAAGTTTGACTTCTTCTTTCACGAATGACCTCACTTTTACAAAATCAATTTTCAAAATCGCTCCAAAACGGGCCTGAATGTTAAAATTGAGATTCTTGATATTTTCAAAGATCAAAATCGTAAAATAGTTTTTTTATAAAATCGTTAAATATCCTCCAAGCTTCCATTCTGGCCTCTCGAGGCATATTTCAGTGGTGCAAAGGACAATGGTGAGGTTTACTCAATCTTGCTGACAGTCGCAGTATGAGAGTTCGATTCCTGAAACATGAATTGTGACTTTTTGTGGATATTAGTGTACAAGCAGCTCTTGTTTCCTAACCTGCTGAGACACATACTACGATTAACCTTTCTCATGATGTTTTAGGAGCGGGGCAGTGAGGACCCTAAGGTTGGAGTTCAACCTCTAATTTTTATTTTATTTTATTTTATTATTTATTTATTTATTTATTTTTATGTTCTTCCTTTCCTGATTATGCTGTCAATTTGTAAGACACAGGCGGGCGGGCCACGGCCATAAGTGGGGGCGCGTGTTCAGAGTACAAGCTTCAGCTCCCCTTCCGCTATTTTTCCGCCCTTCTTGCTGCCCGAGCCTGCTGCCAGCCTACCACACTGAAATTTCGCAAGCAAGAGAATAAAGCTCGCTTTCTCTGTGCGCGAGTATTTTTATCAAATTCTCCATCTGTAAAACTTCATTTCGGGGTATTCAGTTACTAGGCTGCGTTTTTTCCTTTGCGTATTCAAATGTTCTTCCGTTCAAAATTTCAATTCATAAGCATGCTATCTGATGTGATAAAAGTTTCTTTATGCAGGTCAATGTTGTATGCAATATCTTTTCCGAAAATTTGTATTACTAGTGTACCTTATCCCAAAATTAGAACCCCATGTCCTCCTCGAGGGCATTTGGCTTCAACAAGGCTTCGTGTATTGGCTTCTTTACCAGAACCCAATGGAGCTAAAACTGAGTACACTCCATGGCTGATTGTTGGCTTGGGGAATCCAGGAAACAAGTACCATGGAACCCGGCACAATGTAATAGCACGTACTCTATTAGTTTAATTTGTTTATTTTATTTGCATTAGGTAGTTTTGATTTTTATTACCGAATGTTTGAACTTTTTCTTGCTCCCTTCAAAGGGCTATGTATCTGATTGATTGTAATTTTATGGTTCTTTTCAAAATTAGGTTGGGTTTGAAATGATTGACCGCGTCTCTCAAGCAGAAGGCATTCTGATGAACACTATACAATCGAAAGCATTGATTGGGATAGGTGCTTATTCAGATTTTTCCAATTGTTTTCAGTTCCCTTTACCCGAGATGCATCCACTTTATTGTTGATAATTCAGTCTGTCACTGTTACCTCTATTAATGAAGTGTCGTGTTTAATGCAATCAGCGCAGGTTCCATTGGAGAGGTACCCATTTTGTTGGCCAAACCTCAAACATATGTGAATTTTAGTGGAGAATCGGTATGTTCTTTTTAGTTTTTCCATTTAAATACTTATTGATACTTGGCTGGGAATATTATGTTTTTCTTAGTTGCTGAAAAAAAAAAAAAAAACTTCAACAATATAATCAGAAATATTAGGTGACGAGAAATGTCAGTGATTTCGTACAACTGAAAGAAGTAGATCTTCGTGTTTGTTGTAGTGTAAAAATCCATCTCGATAACATAAAACATATGAAAAATGTAGCTGCTCTGCATTGAGTTTTCATGAAAAATATTATAATTATCCTGCAAGTGAGAGCACATATTGAAATAAGGTTGCCAATTTTGGTGTAGGATATAAGATGTTGTGCCAATTCGTTCATATTACCAACCTATCTGGCAGCTTGTTGAGCTCATGAACTCCCTTAATGTTTTGTATACACAATTAAGCAGCATGGGATTTATGTGTCTGTTTTATAGTAATCCAAGACCATCTAATCCACCAATACTTTTCTCTTTGCTAAAAGGATGAATTCCTAAATATTTTGAAAACGTACATTGAGTTTCTTGCTGGAGTTACTTCTTGAATGGAAAAACTAATGAAAATTTCCAAGTTGGAGTTTTATGTTTGCTACTATGAGAAATATCCTTCTTTACTAGTTAAAGCTCTCACTGCATCATCTCGTAGCTCATAGGACTGATGATAATGCTGCTTTTGCTCAATTTTTGTCAAAGCACTCATTTTTTCTTACTAGAGTCTACAGCTTCACTGAATCTTTTTGTCATTTTGAATTTCTTTTGCATTTTGGTGCTTTCTTGAACTCAGGTTTCTTCTCTGTTTGGACATTTCCAAGGTATTGATAAATCAGGATGTGGTGATGTCTAATGTAATAAAATAATTTCACATATAATCTCCTCAACAGTGAAAGAGAGACTTGAGCATTTCTTGAATATGAATTAGCATTTTGATGTTAAGAGTTTCCAAATAATTAATGGTTTGGAATGGAAGATCATTTGTTTTAATAATAAATTGAGGTCTGAAGTGATGACTGCAGTTGACATGACCATTTGCTCTTTCATAGATTCCTTGAGATCGTGAAGTAAATTACTCTTTCTACATACCATGCATTTCTTGTAGTTTCAGATATTTCTTGCTCTGTGTGAGCAGTTTACAACCTACCTGGTAATGTTCTATTGGATAATCAAACATTACTAGGCATCTTCAACACTGCAAACTATGTGATATATATCTACTTCTTTATCAGAGGTTATCTCTTAGTACACTGGGTGTACAGTGGTCCTCTTCAATGACGCATAAGCTTCCTTGACCAAAAATTAACTTTTAATGATATCATCTGTCTCTTCTACATATTTCCAGGTTGGGCCACTTGCTGCATATTATCAAGTACCCTTGCGTCACATCCTCCTGGTCAGCAATAGTTTTTAGTTCCAAAATTGCCATTTACCTTTTTATACAATTTTTTGGTGATAAAAATAAATCAAAATAATCACTTTTCAGTATTCAAACCGTAATTTTTATGTGAATTTGGATATATCTATAACTTCTGAAATGGTCCCTGCAGGTGTATGATGAGATGAGCTTACCAAATGGTGTTTTGAGGCTTCAGCCTAAAGGAGGACATGGCCATCACAACGGGTATTACTTAGCCTAATGATGGACTGAAAATGCTATTCAATTTAAGAATTACAAAATGCTAGCCCATTAATTGATGTAGGGAATATGGTGTTTCTGAGCTTCTCTCTTTTAAGAACTTTTTTCACGTTGTTAGTGGACGTAGAGAACAGATAATCAACAACATCTTCAATCTTTTAAATGTTTGTGTGTGCTTGTGTCCTCCCAATAAAGAAGCCGTGTATGGGACACAGGTGGAATTTTTTGCGATTTAATATCTTTGAACTCAATTAAAAACGTGTCGTTCTCCCTCCCCCTAAATTGTGGTCCACATTCTTTACAGTTTTTATTACCAAGTTTAAGATGACTAATTGATATTTTTTCATGTTTGGTGGACATATTTGTCAAAGTGAAAAAAATCCTCTTGTTCCTGTAAATGCAGCCAACAATCCAATCCTTAATTTCTGACATTTTGACATCAAAATAAGCTATGTGATAAGAAGAAAAAGGCATACCTAGTGCCATTATGATGAGTGAGCCAACTGCCAAATGTGCTTATTAAGACGACTTTCTTCTATAATTCTTTTTTGTTCACCATCTACATATAGTTTTTACGTTGAAAGTATTCATATTTCCTTCTAGCTCTTCTTTTTGTGCAAAAGAGAAGAAAAGTAATGTGCACGCATTATTATAACTTTTCTGTGGCACGTATAAATTTTTATTGGAACTCAAAGACTTGGATTGATGTTAAACTTTTGTTATAAAACAGATATGCTTGTGCACAGTACTGTTCAGGACTGTGTTTATGAGCCACATTTTTGCTTCTACCATTTTCCTGCTACTTAGTCTACTTAGTCCGTGTTCTTGTTATGCTTTCATGCTAAAGAATAATGCTACATGGCGTTATCATTTAATGCAACAGATACCGGTTTAACACCAGTGATGCTATATAGCATTGCTCCTAAAAAGAATAATTTATGATAGTGGATTTCCCCTGCATTAATTTTGAGTGATGTTGTCCAAGTTCTAGCCATCATATCCCAATTTTTCTCAATACATATTTGCACGATGTAAGAGAAACTCATTCTAAAAACATAGAATTGTTAATGAACCTCCTTTTTTCCCTTCTTTGGAATCACAGAGTGAAGAGTGTCATGGAGCACTTAGACGGTCGACGTGAATTTCCACGCTTTTGCATAGGTCTGTTCCTTAATCGCTTTACCTGGTTGTAGTATTCTATTTCTCAATATCAAACCCAAGCTTAAGTACATCTTATCGCAGGCATTGGGAATCCACCTGGTGCCATGGACATGAAGGCTTATCTTCTTCAGAAATTCAGTGCCATAGAGAGAGAACAGGTACTTGTTTTAAATTCAGCTTACGGGGAACATTGGAAAAAAGTTTCTAGTGGATCATTTTGACTGTTATAGTTATTTTATGTTGGTCATTCTATAGTAAAGGAAGGAAATGAATCAAGGTTTTTAGCTTTTTAGAAGGCATGAGCTAGATTATTTTAGGTGCAGTATTATACAAGGGAAGTGAAGATTTTGAGATTTCTAATCCTTTAGGAAACACCACTTATATAATCATATCCTAGGTAGCTGCTGTGTTCAGTTTAGATCAATTGGACCTGCTGAAAGGTCCAATTTCTATCGGCTGTATGTGCAGGTGGATGCTGCTATGGAACAAGGGGTCGAGGCTGTCAGAACGCTTGTACTAGAAGGATTTAGCAGTAGAATTACTAGATTTAATCTTGGGCAGAAGTACAAGCACAATAAAGTTTGAGTTCAGTTGAAGGTAACAAAGAGTATATATATATACATGATCACATTATATAGGCTTCACTGCTAATTTGCTGTATTATTAGTGAAGTGAGTATTATTATATTTTGCTAATTTGAAAGAAAAAGAAAGAAATTGAGTAATCGCAACTTGAAATCAAAATCTCGTGACTTCATTGCTTCCCCACCGCTCTGTTCCCTGGCTCCCACATTCTTGAAGTATATGGATTGATATATTTACCTCATTTTTAGATTATTTCTTGATTTTAACTGAAACCCATTTTGTCATCAGTTTATGTGGGCCCTCAACTCCAATTTTAATGGATTCTTGTGAGTTTATGGATAGAATTAAGCCATTTGTACTTGTTTGTTGACACTTTGAGTTACCTGACCCCACCATTCCTCTCACATGAGGTCAAGTCTCATGTGGGGGTCATGATGTGGTGTCCGACCTTCATGTGAGAGGAGAAGGTGGGCCCGAGCAAATCAAAGTGTGAACAAACAAGTACAAGTAGCATGATCTTTATGGATAAGATTTAAAAACTATCTGGATGGTGAATGCTTATACATTCTTGTAGTCGCTCAAAATTGGAAGTTCTACTTTCATATTTGGTACATAATATTAAACACTCGTATATTATATAGTATAGATAATTTAACATTGTTTTCTTCTTTAATCTTATCAAATACGAAGCAATCCAGCACCAAAACATACTCTACGAATTTGAAGTTTATTCCTAATAAAATTTGTGTTCCGAGGGTAAATAATGAATAGATTTTCATTTTTCACCTCTTAAAAACGTATTGGACTCGACTGGAAAATTTGGTGCCTACATTTGCCATATGTACAGCTCAAAACAGCCGTCCTACTTTTCTAAATTTCTTTGTATCATGCATACTCACTTTTGTGAGTTTGTTGGCAGCGGCAAAAGAAATTTTTTTCCCTTTTTTTAAACTAGAAAGAAAATCATATTTATCATAGCATGTCCACTTAATTTGAAGGCACGAGCGGTACCTTTCAAAAATAATAATAATAATCAGCATCGTCTTTTCTGAAGTAGCCCATAGCCTAATTGAAAAAATAATCAGAAAGTTGGATAGTTAATGCTCGATAGCAGCAAATTTTTTAAAGGTCATTTTTAAAATTTGGGTAATTAGCATTATCTTAATTGCACTTAAATGTCATCAATATATTCTTATTATAGTCTTTATGTTCTTAAATTTTTTCGATGCATTTTTATCATATATCTTTCATTAAATAACACATTTCATTTTGGGAAAATTGCAATCGTGGTACCAAATTTTTTACTTTTATGTAGACTTGGTCCGGTGATTTCTGGTGTTAATTTTGTTTGAGTGCGGTAGGGTGAAGTGGGAGTGGGGGTGGGATGTGAAGAAGATGGGTTTTAATTTTCTCTTTTGTTTTAATCTACAAGTATAGTTCAAACTAAATTATCCTTAACTAAGTTAGTCAAAATTATCAATTTTTCAATTTTTGAGGTTAACTACTGGCTATTATGACGGAATCCATCTGATCGGACTCTATATGTGAGTCCTTGAAAAGTTTGGTATCGTGAGTGTCACAAAGTAAAGGTTTGGGTCAAATTTACATAAAAGTGAAAGATTTAGTATTATGACTGCAATTTTTCCTTTCATTTTTCTTAAAGAATGGTTTTGTTTGAAATTTGTTTGGGAAAATGTAAAATAACTTATTTGTCAATCATATATTTTTAAAAATAAAATAGGAAGTGAGACAAATTCTTTTCCCCATTCTCAATGCGCCAAAATAATCTTTTTGATGGAATTCATTTGTAAGAATGAGATGTATTTTGATTAATAGAAGGTTGAGAAATAGGAATTCGACTAACGAAGCGAAGGATACAAGGGTTATAATAAGTAAAAATTAAATATCTTAATTATAATTTAAATGTGGAACAAAATTTGTAATGTGACTATACTTAAAAAAAATAAAATCATGAAAAGCAGTTTCCCTTTTAATTATTAATTTAAAAATGGCATAAAATATCTTGAGTAACTAATTTAACTGTAAATGACATTCCTTTTATTTTTTATACTTACTTAGATATAGCTATTTGATCAAATTGATCATAATTTAATTTGTATCAAACAACCTTGCTATATTGCCGGTGAATATTTGACACTCTCAACATACCCATCACAGTGGAGGAGGAATTTTTTTGGTCTTTTTTTAAAAAGGTTGAACCTCGACCTTGAGGGTTCGTCCCACCCCTAGAGTTTTGTGAGGGAGGTAAATTGCGGGATATGCCTCAATTGTTCAGAGAACAAGAGCTGTCTGTACAGTATTTTTTTTTTTTTTTTTTGTCTTTTTTTATTCACATGGATGGATTTCACCCCATGAAAGTATCTGTTGACAAAGATATCAAATTCTTTATTCTAGTGTCAAATCAACCCTTGGTTGAGTCAATCAATCAATTAAAAGATAAATGTTTTCAATTTGCGTAAACATATATTATATTAAAGTAAATACAATTAATACTAATTTAACATGGTAATGGGATTATTAAATATTAATGACACGAATCACATAACACGTCGATTTTTTCATGAAAAACAAATTTAATTCATATCTTGGTACTTAACCTAATTGATTTACATCTTATACTTCATCAATTATTTCTCATTAAACATAAAGCATGCCCGATATTAAGGTCATTAATAAACCAAAATCCCAACATAATTAATGATTATTAATCCTAAGTCTATTAATGATTCAGTGGGACGGACTTTAAAAAGGAACGTTGTAAATAATCTTCATATTTTCTCCTCGCCCCCTTTTACCGTATCTTTATTAGACCGTTGGAAACTGAAACTTTTAAGAACACAACTACTTTCAAGAATCTTGGATTTATTTTTATTTTTTTCAGAAATTCAGACTGCAAAGCTTCAAAAATTCTTCATCGATGGCAGAGATCAATGGATTTCTGCTTCAACAAAACCATATTTTACAATACACCGTTCTTGATTCTAAATCACTGCTCCTTTCCCAGTTTTCTGATTCTAACCAACCGCAGTTCCTGAAACTCACAACGGAAAGCCCCGTCATGGAGAGAGGCCCAAGATATAAGGAATACTCGGATCTCAGAGAAAAATGGCTAAGAATGAGGGGCGTGATAGAGCCGAATATTCCTAGAAAAGAAGAACCAGTTTTGACCCCGCCAAAGAAGCAGGTGAAATTCCAGGGAAAGTCGAATTTCACTACACCACCAAAAAGGCCAAAAGGGTCTTCTATTTTGACTCAATCTGTGCCGGATTTTTCATCTGCTTTGCGGAAGGAGAACCGGAAACCGACATCGATGCTTCCTCCGGTGGCGGAGAAGTTCTTGACACCGCCAACGGGGCCAAGGAGTAGGAGGCTTCATGGAAAATTGGGAGGAGGGAGTAAGTCGGTGAATTCCGGTGAGAAGAGGAGTAGTGGAATTATGACTAGGAAGAGCTATGCGAGTATGGAGGAATTGAAGGGATTGGGTACTGCTGCTAATAATATTATCGATGAAGGAAACAGAAGAGGGAGAATTGGCAGGACCCTTTTCGGGCACAGGCAGTTTTGAATTTGGAAATTAGGATTTTCTCACTGATATTTCTGTCAATTGATTGATCGACTTTCTTTGGTTCAATCTTTAGTACTTGATTCTTTATTTTTTAATTCCTTTGCTCTTGAGCTTTGGCTTGAGAATTTCTGTTTTAGGTGTTAGTTTGTACAGAGAGTGCAATGTTGGTGAATTTTGATAAAGAATTGAACCGCTGAATCTTTTTTCTTCTATAGCCTCCTGAGTTTTTAACATTATAGATTAACGTGGTAATTTCTTGTCTTTGCAACAACATACTTCACAATAATTTCGAGATCAACTACATGAATATTCATTACTAAATTTACTGAAACATCTAAGCATCTAAACACTTTCCCATTTTTGTCAAGAAAAAGAATAATAGGAGAGGAAGGAAAAGGATGGGAACTTGAGACACCGTCTGTTAACACCAGCAACTATAAAATACATCAGCTTGGGCAAAAGGCACCATTTCCATTTAAGTATTGGTAGCAGAATGATGCAGTGTCATAGGGAACTTGAGAAAATTAGTTAAAGCCCTGTGCAATCAAAGAGGAGTTCGGCTTGCAGTTCCAAAGTTCTACAACAATCTCATCAACCAAAATCTGGAATATGTGCATGCCAATCTGAATGCCAATTTTAAATTTTTCGATATCAAAAGCTGCCCATTTGCCTAATGAATCACTCATTTCCTTCTCTATCAACTCATCATTTATCAAACCAGATGATTCTCCCCACCTTCTGACCTCCTCCACAATATCAAAAATCAACATCTCAGTGTTCACGCAAAATGGCATTTTTGTCGAGAGTTTAAACCCGGATTTAGCAAATTGACCCAATCTTGAGTCCAGATACTCTATGACAGAATCAAAAGTAAATCTTCTCAGTTGATTCATCTCTTTGCCATCCTCAATGTTAAGAAAGCAATCAAGATTCATCTGGAGAACACTTGCGAGTGTTTCAAGTTGGTTGAGGAACAAGTATTTAATTGAAAAACTTTGCCTTGAAACTGATCTGGGAAGAGTTGCATTTCCAGACACCAACTCAGCTTTCAGAAGGACCTTTTTTGCATGGTTGAGCGTGCTTTCTTTCAAACCACCATTAGCAAGTTCAATACAGCATAAAACTTCTGAAATATTATTGTGGATATCAATAATGTCCTCTCTGCTATTCTTTGCCACCTTTCCTGAGGTTGCAGAATCTAAAAGGTCTGTGTCATGGCCGAGAAACAGTGGATCATCATACGAGCAATCCAAAGTTTCAGAGAGCATTTTATAACCTGAAAATAGAAGCCAATATTAGAAAATATGGATAGCAACATTAATTTTAAGTTCAAACAAGGTAACTTTTTGTCATCACAAGCTACAAAATAAAAACAGAGATTCTTACCAGAGCTATTATCCATACTGCTGGAGAGACAAGTTTCATTGGAAAAAGAAGCCCCAAGAACAGATCCTGGGCTGAGGTGTTCACTGTCAGGTGGGCAGTCCACCAACAACTTCGATATTTTTGCTTTAGCCTAAGGAGATATATTGAATTGATTATTTATGATTCAAATATCATCCATCACGCCAAATATAATTCATATGGCAATAAAATCTATGCTGCAACATAAGAGCAAAAATAGCTAAACGGGCAAGAGCAAAAATAGGTAAAAGCATGATTGCACGATAGACGCCAATTTTTAAAATGTGAGTGGCTCAATGAACCCAAATGCAAGATTAGAGACACAACAGAAATTATCCAAAACCATCTGTAATGAATAAATAAGGTCATGTTATTTACATTTTTATAGTGATAACTTTCAAAGTAGGGTTTGCCATGTTAATCTGTAATAAAAATGTACTTTTAGCAGATTCTCTAACTGTAAATGACAACAGACTAAGAAATTTTCACTTGGTTGAATCCCCAAATTTACCCAAAAAAAAAATAAATAAATAAATAAATAAAAAATATATATATATATATATATATATATTCTAATAACACTGATTACAGAATAGTGCATAGTTTACTACACAAGCATATTTTTTCTTATTCTGACATTAAAATTGTTGACGTGGGGTTTTGTGTTGAATGGTGGAGGGAAGAAACAAATTTCACCAAGCGAATTGCAGTCGATAAAAGTATGCTGGCTCTTTCGAACACAATGGCTTGTGAGAGAAAGAAGCTCCTAGTCTTAACTCTTAAGGCACGTTCTCCAGCACAATGTCTAATTTTCTGAATGTTATTGGCATTTATGCAGGAGATATACAAATGAAAGATGCACTTTGATTTACATATAATTCAGTTCATACCACTGAGAGACTGTTGGTCCCCGTTTCAACTTAACAGACTTTGAATCTCATTGAGTATAATAGACTTTCAAATATCCTTAACGCTGAGTTAGTTGTTGTCAAATAGAATGAAATTGGCTGACCTGGGAATTGTCCAATGTTTTTGAGTTGGACATAGAATTACAATGGTGCGAATCACTTTTCCCATGAGATGTAGCAGCTGAGTTATCCAGGTGAAACGGTCTTTCTGAAGTTAAGGCAGAAATTAACTCCTGGAGAATAATAGCTGTGGTCTTTGGGGGGGAATTTATTCCCAATTCATCCTCTCCTTGGAGATTCAATTCCTGCAATTTTTGTGCCAAAAGTGCACCTAATGCATCTCCACACAAAGGAAATGGTTTCTTATATCTTGAATTTTCGATATTTTCATTTAAAGCAGATTTTTGTGAAGTGCTCTCATGACTTGAATCATTTTGAACCCTTCTTGTAGCAACTCCTGCATGAACTCCAGTCTTCTGGCTCACTGAGTTAACTGTGTACGAAACAACATTACTATCCACCATCCTAATACCAACTGTGCTTTGATCTTGAAGACAGTCCAATCTATTTTTGCTTTGGCGGTTAATGCATTGAACGCTACATTCTATCTCTTTTCTATTCATTACATGATCACCAGTATATTTTTGTTTGTTGAAAGAACTTGAGAAACCAGGACTTGCACTTTCTCTAGTGATATTAATCGGCCTTCTCTTTTGCACTGGTAATATGGAATCATTCTGTGCGTAACCAGCTCTCCTCTCCATTTCAAATTTGCCATTATCAGCTCTGGTGGAGAATCCCAGTTTCGTACGACTACTGAAGCTTCGATGAGGAAAAACAAAATCTTTTGTCTCATCAATGTCATTTGATGCTGATGCTTTGTTGCTCGACAGACCATTGTACTTTGACCTTGGAGGAACTCTATTTCTGGCCCGCAACATCTGATTTTGGCTCTGAGTCTTGTAGCTAAAACCATCAGGGAGACGCATGTCCTTCTTAGGCTTGTGCTGTTGAGTTCCCAAATGCCACCTCGTTTCCCCACTTAAAGGATTCCTATTTGATGAAAATTTACCACGAGGTTGAAAATTTTCCATGGTTGAACCTGCAGTTAATAATGGGCATTCCTCCAGAACCTCATTAAATGTGGGGATTCCAGGCCTGCTCCTTTCTGACCTTCGACAAGAGGGCTCAACATGATGGGAGAACTGAGAAGTAAATACCATCGGCTGATCATCTACACTTGGCTCAGAATCCAACTTATCTAGCAAATGGCCACAAGTTCTGCAAGAAGATTGCACCTTTGGCTGCTGAGTAACAAAATATTTAGAACCGTCCACTTGGCTTGTTAACAGAACTGTTGATTCCCCCAAAACAGTATCTCCTTTAGAAGAATTATGAGAGGTATTTGAATATGCAAGGGCACGTTTTGACCTACTTCTTGCCAATCCAGGTTCCAGAATTCTAGTTGCTGCACCAATTAATCTAGATGCATTTTTCCCCGAAAGATTTATGGGACTTTTCACCGGAGAAGTAAGTTTTGGATGATACTTTCTTGATCTTGATAAAACGTTCTTAAACTGCAATCCCTCGGCCCCCAATCTAGCTACCGGCAGCCTCTCACACAACCCGGTCTTCTGAAGCTTTTGAGGCCTCAGTTCATTTTTACTCCCTACTTTTTCCACATTCACTTCTTTGCTCACATATCCACAAGATTTATCCTCAATTTTCTCTGCTTTATCATTCACATTTCCAGAAAGCGGTACTTTCTTAGAGTTCTCTGTCTGCAAAGGTGGCATAGATTCCAGACCCATAAGCCTAGCAACCAAACCCGGAGCTCGCATTTCATGTTTTTGCTCAGGATCAATATTAACAACCCCACTTTTTTTCCTTGAGCTAGGAAATCCCCCACTATTCTCATCAGCAATCTATATCATTCACACAAAATCAAGAAACATCCCAAGCTTAAAATTCTGTATACTTTATTGAGCAGAAGATAATAATTTACTATGCAGAAATAAAAACAAAATGCGTACCAAACGAAGCTTTGCCTGATTCTCATCTACACCAAATTTCTTTGAAGCTTGTTTCAAGCGAACTGAGAAAAATGCAACATAAAAACAGGATCTTCAACATGATTTGCAACATTGTGCCAATACCTTTTGCCAAATTGAAAACTATGGCAAAAAATATACCTGGTGGAAGCAATTTCTTGGAAAAGAGCTTCTTTTTTGCAAATCTACGGTTCCAATCAAAGAGCTTAAAGAAAATACCCACACATCCTCCTAGTTTTTGAGGCTTTTTCTCTACAATAGCCAAAGACGAAGCCGTTTTTTCCAATCTGTCGTTCATTTCTCCAACAAAAATGAATGTTTTCCCAAAATGCACTTCTCCAACCGATTTATCTCTTCCCCACAGAACCAAGCATTTTTGTTCAAAGGCAACAAAAGGAAAAGGAACTTGAATGTCCTTTTAAACAAAATGCTCAATAATAATCCCAAAAGAATTTCTCCTTTTAACAGTCACTTCTTTTATCTCTCTCCCCAGAAACAGAGAGGAAAGGTGTTGGAAAATTACCCAAAATGAACAAGGCTTCGGCCATGCGCAAAAAATATTATTCAGCTCATGTTACGCAATTAGAAACTATTCAAATATACAAGTCTGGGAACTGACGGCAGATGCAATGAAAGCGAAAAAGAAGTAAAAAAAAAAAAAAGATTGGATTTTGTTTGTGGAGTGATTATCAAATCAATGTCTAAAAAGCATAATCATCTGAAAGCACTTGTAACGAAGATTCCCGATAATATTATAATACAAATACATTCTACAAGAGTAGAAGTCTTTTCTCTCTTGGGGAAACCAAGAAAATGAAAATGAAGCTTAACTGGGTTTGTTGTTCTTCTGCCAATGGCAGCTGAAAAAGATGTGCAGTGAAAACGGCTACTCACTGTGGTTTTCTCTCTCTCTTTTCTTTTTCTTTTTTTTCCTTGTGTAGTGAGGTAGGTGAATTGCAGGTAGGATAAGACAGAATGGGACAATGTTGAAATAGGAAAGGATGCGCACAGCGCACTAATATTAGTCAACATGCCAGTCAGATTAATAAACAAAACAAAAGCACCAACGGTGCCGGTTTACTATTTTCTGACTATTTATTTTAAATTTTAATTGGTACAAAACGTCCTTACTTTTCAAATTTATTGTGAAAAACGCCTTTATTTTTTATTTTTTTGACAATTTCACCCTCATTTCAACCTTTCTTTACACTAGACGTCCTTCCATCCACATTCCGTCAATTTTCCGTTAGTTAAATACAAAAATATCTTTTTCTTTCCATAAACAAGGGTAAAATTGTTCTCATCCATTTCATCCCTTCTTCTCACCATCAACTTAGTCCATAAGTAACAGTAGCAGCAACATGAATATGAAAATACTTTAAATGATTATGTTAAATAAAGAAAAAATGTCGTGAACAACATTATATTTCACAATTCCACAATTACCGCTGCTGTCATATTGGGTTACTGGAAAAATTTAGAAAGACATATATTAAATGGGTGGTTAATTTATAAAGATTAATGCTGGATGTTCACTTCCAGTATATGCTTATTAAGAATGAAATCCACTGGGTAAATTGAGAAAAATGAGTGGAAATGGGTGCTGGGAAGTGCGTATTACATTTTAATGGTGAATGGCCTATTTTAGCTCAATGGAGAAGATGAACTAGTCTTATTCACTTCTTCTAAGAATTGAATTAACCTTGTGATGATAGTCCCTACGTTGTTATAATTTTTCTGAGAACATCCCTACCTTTAAAATGTATTGGCGAGAAACGTCCCTACTTTTTTAAAAAATTTGCAAATAACGTCCCAACCTTTCAAAATTTTGGCAAGAAAAGTCCCTGTTTTCTTCTATTTTCCTCTTGTTTATACACACAACAATTCGTGATTGATTTTAGGAAAACCCATATCTTTCGAGAAAGTGACAGTGGTCCCAGTCGGGCCCATGCCCCATCTAATGGTGCTTGATGCTACTAGCATTTGAGCACTAGCCGCCTTCTCATGTATTTTTTGTTCCAAAAAAGAAAAAAAAATTATTAGCAGTTAGCTTCATAACAATACTCAAATAGAAGGTTCAAGAAGAAACACAGTACTAGTGCCAACTCCTCCTGGGGCTTCTTCACTTTATCTTCTCGCTTCTTCCTACTGGAATCTTGATTGAGTATTTTTCTAATTGCCTCTGCCTACAAAGTTGATGCTCCATGCTTTTAAAATTCTAAAAGTCGTACAAGATGACAATAAATTGAAGTAGAGAAAAAGCAAACCTCTGATTTCCATGTTGCTTTCTCAGTTTGCATTTTACACCTTTGAGCAATCTCAGCTTTCTTCAGCTGTTGTTCCATTTCACCCTTGTTTATTGAAAGGGGTGAAATGGACGAGGACAATTTTACTCTTATCTATGGAAAGAAAAAGGTATTTTTGTATTTAATTAACAGAAAAAATGACGAAATGTGGACGGAAGGACATCCAGCGCAAATAAAGGTTGAAATAAGGGCAAAAATGTCAAAAAATAAAAGGTATGGAAGTTTTCCACAATAGACTTGAAAGGTAGGAACGTTTTGTGCCAATTTTCCTTTACAAAACATTGCAAATATATTTGATCTGATTTTTTCTAAAATAAAAATGAATTTATAACATATAAACTTAAAACTGTTGTAAATGGAAAGTCCATTAAAGTTTATTGATGAATAACATTTGTACCCCTGTAGCCCTAAAAATTATTATCATTGTATCCCTAATTTTTACCTATAAATATAGGGTTTTGGTTTTCAATAATACACACGAAAAGGTTTATTGAATTTTCTCTATTTTCTTTGAGTTTTCTCTATTCTCTTTTCCTCTCATTTTATAATACGTTATCAGCGCGAACTCTTAGAAGATAGTAATTTTTTTTCATAATCATCTATCACGTATATCAAAATTAATTTGATAATATGTGAATTTTACATATACATATGTTGAATCTGCAATACGTGATCTCGTCTTTCTCGATCATTATGTTTTCTTTGTACCTTTCTTTGAATTAATATTTTTTTCCTTTACATCAATCCATGTGCATCTTTATAGAGATATATTTATGTTAAATCAATTGATATGCATTAATTCATGTTCATATACTCTCCTTATATTTATATTAGCCTTTTACGTTCTACATATGCTTATAATTTTTTTTTTTGGTTTAATTGGTCAATGTTATTTATAAGCAAGCTTCAATTCCATATCTCTATTTTGACTAATTCCACATATATATAATATACAATTAACAAATAACTGTACCCAACTCATCTTTTCTCTCAAATCCATTGGGTTCTGCAAATTTCATACCTTAATTGGTTAATACTAATTCAATTCTTTTAATTGCACATAATTAGAATTTCGTGTCATAATACGTGAATAGGTTTCTACATGTCACCAATTTTTTTTTTTGTGTTTCACTCAACTCACGTTATTAATTTAAAATAATATTTTACGTGTATTTGTATATTAATTAATGGTGAGCAATTGGATGTATTATCATTTTTTTTATGTTTAGTTATGAAATATTACATTAAATTTATTTTTAATTGTTGTTGCTCCTGAAGTAACACAACATTATAATTAATATTTCAGAAGAATATTAATCATAGATCTATTCGTTATTACTCCAGAAGTAGCACAACATTATAAAAATATTATTTGTTCCTGAAGAGCATAAATTATAACTCTCAATATTCCAGAAGAATATTGACATATTGCACTTGAAGAAATAATAGCAAAATATAATGTGCTCCAAAAGTAGCATATGTTTCGAAGAACATATTATTTCAAATTAATGTTTATCCCTAGAGGAAAACATGTAATTTAAAGTCATGTTGATGTTGACTATTTGATTAACATGTGATGATTAATCATATTCTTCGAAAGTAATTGTATTTTTTTATTGTGTAGTTAAACAAATAGCAAACATTACGAAATTTAAGTTTGCTGCACTTGACATATCTGGTAAAAATTATCTGTCATGGATATTGGATACTGATATCCATCTCGTCTCAAAGGGTCTAGGAGAGACAATAAAAGAAGGAAACAATGAATCCCTACAGGATTGTGCGAAAGCACTCATTTTCCTCCATTACCATCTTCACGATGGATTAAAAATTAAATATCTCACTGAGAAAGATCCACAAGTTCTTTGAAAAAAGTTAACTGAAAGATTTGATCATCAGAGAACTATAGTCCTCCCCAAAACCTGTTATGAGTGGATGCACCTTCGTTTGCAAGACTTTAAAACGGCTAGTGAGTACAATTCTGAATTGTTCAGAATATGTTCAAAGTTGACTTTGTGTGGAGAAAAAACCACAGATGAAAATTTGCTGGAAAAAACTTTCTTCCTCTTTCATGCCTCGAATGTGCTCTTGCAGCAGTAATATCGTGAGCATGGCTTCAAAAAGTATTCAAAATTTATATCTTGCCTACTAGTTGCTGAACAAAATAATGAATTGTTGATGAAAAATCATGGATTACGTCCAACTAGTTCTGTACCATTGCTTGAAGCAAATGGTACTACATTATATGAAGCAAATACAATATTAAGACAAGGACGTGGACGTGGACACGGATTTGGACGTGAGCACGGACACGGACGTGTACGTGGAATAAATCATGGAAGAAATAATCAACAAAGTTATTAACAACAAGGCAATAAATTCAAAAGGTACGAAGCAAACGAGAGTGGCAAATCTAAAAAGGAGCATGAAGAAAGTTGCTTCAAATGTGGAATGAAATGGCATTGGGCACGTACGTGTCGTACCTCAAAACATCTTGTGGATCTCTACCAGAGATCAATCAAGGAAAAAGAAAAATTGGAGACTAATTTTGCTGATTATGATGGTCCAATTGATGTGACTCATTTGGATGTCTCCGATTTCTTTACTGATCCAAATGGAAATATTGACCATTTCGTTGGGCGTGGTGTGATAGAAGATATAGATTAATTTACTAATATTTCTTTCGTTTTAAGAATTCAGTTTGAAATATGTTTTTACTTTTTCGCACAAAAATAAAAAAATAAAAATAAAACTCTAATATGCACCGTTTATTTCATGATATTAAGTAATGTTTACTTCTTTAAATCTAAATTCAAGTTTTTAAAAAAAAAAAATTATTTATTTTGTTATATTTATAGATTCATGATGGATAGTCAAGATAGCTGCTTAATTGATAGTGCAACTATACATACTATTTTTCAAGATAAAAAATACTTTTTGGACTTAATATTAGCTGAAAATAATGTTAACACGATATCGGGTTCGTCGAATATCGTTGAAGGCTCCGGAAGAGCTTGTATTATTTTACCAAATAATACAAAATTATATATTGACGATGCATTTTATTCTATTAAATTCAAAAGAAATTTGTTTAGTTTTAAAGATATTCGCTGCAATGAATATTACATTAAGACGATGCAAGAAAATAATGTTGAATATTTTTGCATCACTTCTTTTGTATCTGGCAAGAAGCAGATAAAATAAAAATTTCATGCACTCCCGTCTGGCATATATTTTACATTTATAAAAATGATCGAATCAAATAATGTTACGAACCAGAAGTTCGTTGATTCAAAAAGTTTTATACTTTGACATGATCGATTTGGACATCCGGAGCCATAATGATGCGTCGAATAATAAACAACTCACATGGAGATCCTTTAAAGTGCCAGAAGATTCTTTTATCTAATGATTATCCATGTGTAGCTTGTTCACAAGGCAAGTTAGTCATTAGACCTTCAATTACAAGGGTCAATATTGAATCTCCAACTTTCTTGAAAAGAATACATGGAGATATATGTGGGCTAACACACCCACCACGTGGACCATTTCGTTACTTTATGGTATTAATTGATTCTTCTACAAGATAGTCACATGTTTGCCTACTTTCAACTAGGAATGTAGCATTTGCTAGACTACTTGCTCAAATCATAAAATTGCGAGCACAATT